AATTGGGGGCTCGTCCATGATCTGAATCAGAGACAAAATTCGATCTAAATTAAAATTAATACATAATTCAATTTATATCTATCAGTGCCAACAAGGTTTGATCATGTCTAACTATCAAGATTTTCTTGAATCACCCTCCCTCGAACAACTAGAAAGATATAATAAAAATCAATTGCTAGAAATTGGCAAAGTTTAGAACTAGAAGTTAAAATATCAATGAAAAAATTAACTAAAAAAGCATGTTATTGAAATACTAGTTGATGATGATTTGTTGCCTGAGGAAACATTAGGGGAATTCTCCAGTGTACCCACTAGTCAATCGGAAATGAGTGATAAAGATAAGTTGGAGATCTAGCTAACGCTCAAACAAATCGAGCTTGAACAAGCTCGTATCGAAGCCGAGAAAGAGAAAGTAGTACCTCATCTTGATTGTGTTCATAGTGTACTACACTTTATGTTCAGTCCACATATTCCTTAGTTTAAACTCATCTAGTAAAGTTCAGCACTGTTTCGTAGTACCACATCTTGTCTGAATCTCCCATTAAGAGGCTCTATCAGGTATATATTTGGTATAAATCCATATTTGGTTCATTTGAATATGCCACAAAAGTAGCAAACTTACTGAATATTTTATAAAGAGTACTCAGCCTTTTCATTTTCACGTAACTTTAGCAGTAGCGTAGAGAGGGAGGGGGGACACTTGCACCCGACACACTTCGAGGGTGGGTGCACTTCAAACTTCAAGCTACCATACACACTACAACTCCACACGAAGTTTATGCTCATCTTCAATGCCCCCCCCCCCCAGTGGCACAGCGGTATGTCTGCGGACTTACAACGCTAGAATCCGGGTTTCGATACCCGTGGTGAGCAGAGCACAGATAGCCCATTGTGTAGCTTTGTGCTTAATTACACGCAAACAAACAATCATCTTCAATATTTTACTTTACTTTTAAGAAAATAAAACACTCTGAGATTCACTTAAAAATAGTTATCCGTATTTGGCTGGCCTAAGAAACGTGCTATCTTGAATGGCCCGGCATGGTCAGGTGGTTAAGGCGCTCGACTCGTAATCTGAGGGTCGCGGGTTCGAATTCCCGTCACACCAAATATGCTCGCCCTTTCAGCAGTGGGGACGTTATAATGTCACGGTAAATCCCACTATTCGTTGGTAAAAGGGTAGCCTTGGAGTTGGCGGTGGGTGGTGATGACTAGCTGCCTTCTCTAATCTGCTAAATTAGGAACGCCTAGCGCAGATAGCTCTCGTGTAGCTTTGCGCGAAATTCAAAAACAAACAAACAAGCTATCTTGAATCTCTCCAGCTAGTTCGTGTAGAAAGACTCTTTTTGTTTAAATAGTTTTGAATAACATGATTTATAACGCCTATTACAAAGACAGATTTAGTAAAATTTTCTTAATATTTCTATTTTTGGTGAAAACAATTCGTACTTACTGGTTAAATTGTATTCTCGATAAGCCAAAATATAGTAATAGTATATTTTCAAAAATGTCACTACAATTCAAGTCGTTGTGTTTTTTCGAACTAGCTGCTTTCCCTCTACTTGTTTGTTGTTTCGTACAGAAACTCGGTTTTCAGCGTTACACGTTTTTCAGACTTGCTACTGTTAACCCTTGAGTAGTTTGCGCAAACATTCTAAACAAACAGATAATCTAACAAACCATAACCCAGATTTTTTGGCTTTATATTTACAGTAAGTTTTCCAATTTTCATTAGTTTTATTGTTTGATTTATCCTTCCTCGTGTAACATAGTATGCACGACTTTCTTCCCAGAACAGGCCTAGGAAAGTAGAATTAAGACACTGAAGAACCTACGTATGTAATCGTAAGTGAAGTAAATATTGACATTAATTTGTAGTCTCGTATCATTACAGTATTTTCCGAAATGAGTTTGTTTGTGTTAATACAATTATATATATATATATATACACACACAGCAGTGTGAAATTCATTAGAACATCTCATTGCTCCTGCAGTTGTGATTTACTATGCCTATGAAATAAAGCTACTGTAGTTTAATGTTGGAAAAAGCATCAAAATAGGCAAATTATTGATTTTCTCAACTCCACGCCGATATTTACGAGTAAAGTAGATATATTTAGATGTATGTTTGTTTGTTTGTAATTAAGCACAAAGCTACACAATAGGCTATCTGTGCTCAGCTCACCACGGGTATCGAAACCCGGATTCTAGCGTTGTAAGTCCGCAGACATACCGCTGTGCCACTGGGGGGCATATTTAGATGAGCTGATGGTTATTCTCTTCTCGAACCCTCATACCTGTAATTGAGGCATCGGAAAAAATTATTTTCTTTTTTTTTTAATTCTGAATTTCAATTCACTTCATTTTTGCTAAATCTTTCCGTTTCCCTCTTATTCTCTGTTGACACATTTGTTGAATCACCAGATTTGTTTGGTCTTTTTGTTGACATTTGTATTGTATCTTGGCTTCCAAATGAAAAATAACGCCAGTTATTCGTTTATTTTTTTCCCAAGATGCCCAAAAGATCAAGCGGGGCACTTCTCTGACTTATTTCTGAATATGACCCAGTTCTAAAGACCTACTTGGATTATGCCGAATCACACACACTGGCTCAATGACTTACTTGTCACCAGTAATCCAAAATTAGTTTTTGGGCTTCTAGCTTCAGAGTGAAAGAAAAGCTGATCGAAGGTATTAAGAAAAGCAAATATTATGGAATCATGTTGGATTCAACACCAGATTGTGCTCATCGAGACCAATTGTCATATGTTATGCAATACCTCCTTATTGATTTTGAGAAAGAAGGCGACATTCAAAGAGTCTTTCCTTGGATACATTCTCCTGCACAAGGAGAAGAAAGATGCTACGTCTCTGGAACGAGTGGTCCTCCAAAAACAGGACTCAGATGGTATTGCTTTGAATGATTGCCGTTCGCAGCATTATGACAACACCACCATGATAGCAGACCACAATTTGAAGAAAAGGAGAAAAAAAAGGCAAGAAAAGTGAATATGTAAGCCGTTTAGTGTTGGTTACATCAAAATGCTCTCTTTTTTTCCCAGATTTATCGGGGGGGGGGGCACTTTGGACCTTTGCTCTTGAGCGCATCAAACCCCCGCTACGACACTGACTTTACATCGAATGTTTCACTAAAGCAAAGGATTTGCTTATAGCAATAATTATTCATTCATAATGAGCATTTACCTCGAAATGTTAGGCTTACCTTAGGTTTACCTTAGTTAGGCTTACCTTAACTTAGGCTTACCTGCAGTGACATTTCGCAATAGTCTAGAACTCCAATCTCTACCGTTGCTCTTATCATAATATCTGTTTCATCTGTAGCCCCTGTAATGGATATCCTGTTTTTGCTCTCGTACTTGTAGATATAGGATTTTCTGGGCTCGTATATAAACTTGGTAGCTGCAGGTAATAGATTTCTATTAGACCAAAGTCCTTTATAAATACTGAATAATTCGTAAACATTAACTTACAAATAACGAAATAAATTTTCAATACATTTACGAGTGTAAACCTTAAATGTCATTGAAAGAAATTACTTTGAACAGCTATAGAACAATTCAGTTTTATCATGAATTAATAATACCACAGCCCAAAGTCCAGTTTTCATTGCTATTTGCTGTCTCACACCTACTTTTGGTAATTGCATTGTACTGATTTAAACCAAAAGGTTGCTGTATAGATAAAATCTTTGAGTGTTGCATGTTTACTTTTAACTGGTATTTTATGTCGCATATTTCAAGATTGTAAAACAGGTAACTTTTGCTGAATCAATCTATCTATGCCTGTTTCTTCCCTCCCCTCTCTATATATATATGTGTGTGTGTGTGATGTCAAAGATTACCCGAAGGGCAATTTTTTAAAATATCTTTATTTTATTTAAATAAGTTTAATTGCTACATTTATTACCATAATGGCAAAGTATTGAAAGTCTTTGTGCTGCAGTTTTTACTTACTTTTATATTTTAAAACTTTCTTTGAGCGAAATTCTTACTTTGGGATACAAACTAATGACGTAAAACAATAAACAAGTAAACTGTGGAAGGCTAAGAATTTAAAACTTGTTTATTGTCGGATATACAGAGTATTGTGCTTATGGTTACAACGTTTCACCAGGTTAACCTGGCCATCATTAGGTACAACAACAATAAGATCACTTATTGTACGTCTTATACTTTTAGTTATTAAGGCTAATAACTGTTTCCAACTTCATGAAGGAGGTAAAAAGATTTTCATAAAAGATTTTTCTGTGTTAAAAGTTTCACAAAAGATGTACGAAAACTTGTTTAAAGTCCTGCATAACTTTAGATTAAATTACTACAAGATTTTTTTTCTCAGAACGTTGTTTATTTTAAGATGTTATAGTAGCATACTAATACAGGAGATCATGATTTAAACTTCAAATTAAAAGGCAGAATTGGAATTTTAAGCCTGCGTGACAAGCAGCCATTCCGTGCGTTTTTATCTTCTAATTTAATGTAGAAATTTTCTAAAATGTTTATATTTTGAGTTTATGCAGTTTTACAAAAAAAAAACCTGGCCCAGAAAACCATCAAACATGACTTTATTCTAGTTACCTTTGTTTCTTTGTTGTTCCCTACAGATAACACCTGCTCCTCCCATGAGTCATGTAAGTCAAAGCAACTGTTATCAGTATCAGGAGAACACTCAATGGCTAAAATATTTTGGAATGCATCTCGTATGAAATAGGGCTTCAACATACTAATATGACACAGCTGGATAGCCCTTCGACAATCAGGTGTTTTTACAACATAGTCCGTATCATTAACTTTTTGAACAATCTCATAGGGAACATGATACCTAGTTATGAGTGGATGTCCCATAGTGGGTAACAATACTAAGATCATGTCACCAGGATGGAACTTACGCTTTTCAGCCTTGTGGTCATGAACATTTTTTTCATTTTCACTTGGGATAGCTTCAAATTTTTTTAAGCCAATTCACAAGTACATAAGAGTCTGAACCGAAACTTGGAAACGTAGTCCAACTAGTACATTTCTTTCGGATCGTCTTCCAACCATTTTTCCTTCAGCAACTTCAAAGGATAATGCACTGAATGGCCAAACACCAATACAAACGGGCTAAACCATAACGACTCCTGAACTGACTCACGAACAGCAAATAATAATAAATTAACTCCTTCATCCCAATCCTTCTCGTTATCGAGACAGTAAGTCTGCATCACATTTTTCGAGGTATAATGGAATCTCTGAAGAGCACCTTGCAATTCTGGATGATATACACTAGATTTGATCTGTTTAGCACTAAGCTAATAAACAACTTGTTGAAACAACCCTGACATAAAATTTGATCCCTGATCAGACTGAACTTCTTTGGGCAAGCCAACAAAAGTAAAGAAATTAATCAAAGCCTTAGAAATTTTTTGGGCTGAAATGCTTCTCAAATAGATAGCTTCAAGGAATCGAGTGGATACACACATGATAGTTAACAAATACTGATTCCCCGATCGAGTTTTTGGTAAAGGCCCAACACAATCAACAATCACACGACTGAATGTTTCTTCGAAAACTGGGATAGGTTTCAAAGGAGCAACAGGAATTTGCTGGTTAGGTTTTCCGACCAACTGAAAGGTATGACAAGTTTTACAAAAGTGAGAAACCTGATTTTTTTTGCCTGATTTTTGGCCAAAAGAAATGTCTTCATAATTTTGTCACGTTTTGTTAACATCTAAATGACCTTCCATAGGGAGTTCATGTGCAACTTTCAATATTTCAAAATGATATGCTTTGGGAACAACGATTTGGTAAACAATATCCCAGTCCTCTGAAGCTGGCACATCTGGTGGTCCTCATAAGCACACCATTTTTGAAAATATAACTATTTGGAACTTTCTCCAGTTCATCTTTTGGGAGTGCATATTTAAATAGTGAAGAAATCTGTGGATCCTTTTCTTGCTCGGTGATCAGATTACTTTTAGTAAATCAAACTTCACCAGGCAAACTAGATCTCTCATATCCATCACTATCGCTCACCGAGGGATTAGCATTATCCATAAGATCCTCATCAGATCCAAAAAATGTCTGAGACAAATCTATAATATCGTCCTCTGAATTCATGTCTATCATTTGTTCTTGGCTTAATTTCATAGCCTGAGCTCGAGTCACAACACACGAGGGAAACACATCAGGATTCTCCTCAATGACAACATTATCCTTAAATGAAACAGTGATCGGTTCACTAACCATTTTGGGTTCAGCAACAACTTTTCCCCCAGCCAAATCGTTTCCCAACAATAATGATTCAGAGTAGGTCTTACTCCAACCACATCTGGTCCCGAAACTAGGTCTGATGCCAAATAAAGTTTATGAACAGGAACATTAACAAAGCCACCCTCGATACCCAGAGCAATAACAGACTCACCAGTGGCAGAACTCGAATCTAATCTAAAGGCAATATACCTTCTAACAACAATGACTAAGTCGCCCCAGTATCACGTAGAATACGTATGGGTATGGGATTGCCAGTGTCATTTGTCAAAGACACAGACACAAAAGGTTGAAATTCCTTTCTGATTAAATCAGCCTTTACATCAGTGGCCAAATCAACAATATCGGGTGATCTGGTGAAACTACGTTCATATGTGGACACAAATGCACTGAGTGTTGCCTCCTTTTCTTTTTCAAACACCAACGATCGGACATAAAATGACCAGTTTTTGTTGTTTTTTCTTTTTACAAAAATGGCAGACAGGCCTGATGGTTTTGATGAAGTTTTAGCCCGACTGTATGAAGATTTCGAACTAGAGGAGCTGGAGTTTTTAGAAGGATCTTCAACTTTAGTGGATTGAACAGATACAGGTTTTTTGTCGAGATGATAGGAATTTCTTTTTATGAAAAGTTATTTTATGTGTTAAAGTGTAATAATCGGAAGCAGCAGTTGCTTTCTGTAGTGTTTCAACTTTCTTTTCATCTAAGTAAGTTTTGAGTTCGTCAAGTGCACAACATTTAAATTCCTCAATTAGACATAATTGTCTTAGTTTGTCGAAACTGTTGCCAATATGCATAGAACTACAACATCGATCAAAATAAACTCTTTTTCATGGGCAAATTCCATATAAGTTTGATTATCTTGTTTGCGATAACCTCGAAACTTTTGGCGATAAGCCTCCGGTACTAACTCATGTGCTTTGAAAATAGCTACTTTAACCTTATCATAATTCGTACAATCTTCTAGAGAGAGAGTGGCATAAGCTTCTTGTGCTTTACCAGTTAAAACACTTTGTAATAATAATGACCATTTTTCGGTGGGTCATTCCTCGGTTTGGACAACCTTCTCAAAATGTTGGAAATATTTATCAACTTTATTTTCTTTGAATGGTGGTACTTTAACATATTGATTAAGTTCAAAATTGTTATTTTGCCTTCATCGATCAGAGTTGAGTCTAATTTCCATTTATTTCAGTCTAATTTCTTTTTCGGCCTGAGACGTTTATTTTCTCTTTCAGCTTCACTACGAGCAAAGTTCAGCACTGTTTCTTCATAGTGTATTACACTTTATGTTCAGTCCACATATTCCTTAGTTTAAACTCATCTAGTCACAATCTTTATTAATTTAAAATACAAAATCACAGTGTGTGCATTTGCTTACAATGAACTGTCTCTTCATTACAAAGTCAAGATCAGGTCAAGCTTTGACGAGATTAGGAATAAGACTAACTAAATGTGAGGTTTCTATCAAAAATGAAACGTGCTCGACTCGCAATCTGAGGGTCGCGGGTTCGAATCACCGTCACACCGAACATGCTCGTCCTTTCAGCCGTGGGGGCGTTATAATATGACAATCAATCCCACTATTCGTTGGTAAAAGAGTAGTCCAAGAGTTGGCGGTGGGTGGTGATGACTAGCTGTCTTCCCTCTAATCTTACACTGCTAAATTAGGGACGGCTAGCGCAGATAGCCCTTGTGTAGCTTTGCGCGAAATTCAAAAACAAAAACAAACAAAAATGAAACCTCGCATTTACCCATGCGCCTGTGCTACCACGTAACTTGTCATTCTCATTACACGTAGGTGAGGCCGAAACCTCGCTCTAGCTATTATCTGCCAGTGGTCTCGACATCTTTAAAACAAGATCACTGTTGGCAATATTTTCCAAGGGCGGTAACAGGTATTATCAACATTGAAAATGACAAAGGAGTAAAGGTAACTTGAAACAGGAAAAACTTAACGCTATTCTTGACCACGTATTATGTAAAAACCTTCAGATATAAAGAACAAAGAATATATCCAGAATAAATATTAATACTACATAAAGAAGAATACTATGGTATATTCTTATGCTACACTTTCAGAAAAGAGATATCCTCAATACATACTTGTGTATAAACTTACGTATGTAATTTAAATTCAAGAAAAATAGAGAA